TTTAAAAAATAGTGTGCTGAATTTCGATTACTGTTTTAGTCGCATTGCCCCAACTCAAATCACAACTCGTTGGTAAATAATCGATGAAATAGTTTGTCTGGACACATTCAAGTTCCTCTCACTGTCACCTTAAAGCTGTGAAAATTTGGTGTTAATCCGACGACAATAAGTATACGTTATTTTTTGTTAAAGACGTCCATGAAGTAACAGCAAAGATTTTCAAGCTTGTTTATCAGCACAATCAATTTGTTTTCCCATCAAGGTCTGTTTTAACATGTGTAAGGACATCCAAATGTGTAAGGCTATTGGAAACCAAAAAAATAAAGGAATGGGATAGCTATAATTGGATAAATTCGGCATATGAAAACACCAAAATCAATGATTTTTTTTTCAGTGGCTGTGTGACCTTGTGTCTGACACATTTATATGCAAATGACTAATCTGTGAAACAAACAGGGGCAGAGACAAACCACTCAAATGTTTGGAAACATTCATTGTGTGTCAGATAGCTACTGATAACACATCCTAACATTGCTTTGTCTTGAGTTTATCTTTGAAACTTATAGGCACACAGATTAAACCTGTGTTGTTGATTTTGGAAAACACTACTGAGGCTGCCTTGCTTCCCTTCAGAAAATCTACATTTTAACCAACTTACATGACATTCTATGTTATGTTGACTTTATCACATGAAAGTTTATAGTGCATTTCATCAATTAATAAATAAATGTGAAAATCGTACTTTTCAACACAAATAATAGTCTCGCTACCTTAAGTTTGAGCTATTATCTTGACTTGAGCTATTTTCACCGGCTCAATCTGCATTCCACAGCAGCTCGCGCATAACCCATAGAAATACATGGTACGGTGGTGCACATCTACATGTAAGCAACATAGAATATTCTGTGACATAGCTCCACCACCGAGAATGCACATTTTTATTCAAACCAAAAGCTTTTGAGTCACACTACACCTGTACATATTCAATATACATTCATGTACCAAATCAATACTGAATCAATAACAAATCAAACTTGGTTGAGATTTTATATTGAAAATTGATCCAATCGGCGTAAGACAATAATGAGGGGTACTATAAGAAATGAACAGTTAATCAACAGAGAAAATGTTTCTACATAGCTCAGAAGCCAGATACTCCATGTGGAATCATTACGATGATTAACCATTATTAAATAGGAAATCGTACAAGTACACCAAATCATGGGGAAATGTCACATATTTTCAGAGGAATTCACAGTACACAAAGTATGGTTCAATCACCTATGCAAAAAGTATTGCAATGAGCCATACTATTAAAATTTCTAGAAATTAAATGAAGGGCACAACATTGCCACTGTGGTGAGATGCATCATGCTTCAGACAGAGTTTGCATGATGCGGTTGCTAGCAATCTGCCACTGCATCACTGGATTGAGCAATATATGATATAGAGAGAGCATGATATTCATGGTCAGCTGTCACCCAAATGGTAACAAAGCAGTCATCGATAAAATGCACAGAAATACATGTATGTTGATAAATTATTTATTTTTATCTACAGTACAGACTTGGAAATTAACGGCTCTTGTTGATCTAGCATAATAATTGAGTAAACAACTATACTAGAAAGACTAAGCAACACAGGGATATTGTTACCAGGTTTGTATGAAAAACTGAGAATATTATTCTGTGTATCATATTACAAATGGTACATCCCTTTATACTAAAATTGCAGGAAGCAAAACATTGCGTTAAACATAATCCCTGTCAACATAGACCTTGCCATAGCTGGCCTTACAGATGTGTATATCGTCATTGACACCATTATATTAATGACATTATCCATTGATGATCATATGAACAACAACTGTGACAATATAAATATAACTATACAAAATGCAAGGAAAGAAAAAAAAACAAAACATAATTACAAAAACTAAAACCATATAAACACCACAGCTGTTGCACGGATTGCTATGCAAATAGTAGTTAGGATGATTTCCACAGCCGACAACATAGTAATTTTACTGTTACATTCAATCAGTGCATAGGAAAATATTCTGTATGGTAAATTCAGGCTAATTAACCGATTACCTTAACCATTTCACCTCAATTTCTCTCTTTATCCCCACATATTCACAAAATTGTTTGTTTATAGTCTGCACTTTCCTTCAGAAGACTGGGACAAAAATAGCCAAATTTTTTGAGTCAAAAATAAAAATTTTATTTGTGGGCTCCAAAATTAGGATTCATTTCCAGAAATATTCAAGAATATAAGAAAAAAGTGCCGAAAAATTTGGGCGAGAATGTCTGGTGATGTAATGTTAATGCGGATACAAATGTGAGAAAAAGTATTTTAAGCTATTGAGGTACCCTATTGAGGTACCCTATTTCTTGCTATTAAATTCCAGGTATAGCTACAGTAATTCTGGTCTAACTTACGATAAGATTGCTGGCTGAAATTAAAGTTCCACCACATCATTTATATGTCTGTCAGCAATTTTGAAGTGTAATGCTGTTATTACAGTATACTAAACTCCATGACATTTAATCTTCAGTTATAAATAGATGACCTTTACTCAAGTGGGTCACGGGATTATTCACAGATGGTAGACCCAGAAGGAGTTAATTGCAGTCCTTATGAGGTTATAAAGCTAAACAATTTTACATCTACAATTGTCATCTAGTTAAATTCATTGATTGATCATATTTGAATCATGTCACAATGGCTTGCCTGTATTGCTATGTAGGATTTGTATCGCAGGCAATGTTAGATTCAATATGCAATGGATTTCCTTCTTGAGAAAAAGACAGTGGTTCGTGTGTTAAATATTCACAATACAAAAATTACATAAATCAAATACTGTATAGGGATGAAAATTACTGAAAAATAATTTATTTTCGCTTGATTCAGTGAAAATAAAATTTACCGAATATACCTTTTTCCCTATATTTTACACATTCAACTCGTCAAAAATTAATGAAAATAAATTGCATGCAAAACATCCAAAGATTAATTCCAACTAAAATACAGTATTTTACAGTATTGACTGGGTTTAGTTTTTGCTAATTTTACTAATAGCTAAATGCACCAAAACCCAGTGAATATTCGCATTTAACAGAATTTATTGTTTTTTGCACAACCAAAGAATTTAAAACCTAGTGAATATTCTGGAAACATCAAATCCCCTAAAATTAAACCCAGTAAATATTGGCATAATAGAGAAAATATTAAAGGTAAAAAATATGTAATATTGAGTTCCTAATTTGTATTAAAAGGACCATGATAAATGTTAGAATCCTCACCAGCAAATGCCAAAGCATGATGGCTAATTTACATAATAATACAATCTGATTTGCATATGTATTCAGTAACAATAGAAACAATGTAATTTAATGACCTAATGGTGAATTATAACCAAGCAGCCTAGCAAGTGTTGTAAATTCTGATTTGCATATGTATTCAGTAACAATAGAAACAATGTAATTTAATGACCTAATGGTGAATTATAATCAAGCAGCCTAGCAAGTGTTGTAAATTCACATGTTGCATCAAAAGCTGCATATTGAGGGTATACCTTGACTCGCTTGCCTGTTATGCTATTAAAATAATCTGAAGACCCTGAAATGATACATGTCATTTTGCTCATTGGAAGAGCATCTCTGATAGAATTGCACATAAAACCCAATTTGCAAAATATGTTATATCTTGGAACATTTAAATACTTATTATTACGATAGATATACCTCTGTAATCTATGTAGATGGATGTACTACCGTAAAATCTCTATTAGAAGCCCCATCTCTAATAGAAGTCGCACCCTTTAATTTGAATAATTGAGAATCAAAATTTCATCATTTCTCATATGTGTAGATGCCCTAATAGAAGCCGCATCCCTTCTGTTGCATTGTACCATTTTAATAGAAGCCGCGGTTTCTAATACAGATTTTACAGTACTAGGAGAACAACTACAGTAATAAAATTAACACAAAATTCCTTACTTATTCCACTGCTCAAGTGAAAATAGTGCATAAAAATGATGTGAAAATATAGTCATCTACATTATTATACACCTACAACTGAAAACAATAGAGTTGCTGTTCCGTAGAAAGCTGTATCAGCACTTGTTTGAACGTTCAAACGTTTGAGCGTCAGCCATTTAAATCATTTAAATTTTCCCTGATATGGGATAAACTACGTCACCAACAGTGACGCCTTCAGGGTATTGACGTCATATTCATTCATGTACTTGTATTTGTTTACACTGGACGACGACGGACAATCACTCATATGATCATAAACTGATATTGTATTGCCGGCAAAAAATTCTACTCCAACACAACAGTACTACAGTACAGGAACACTTAGTCATAGGGACGGGTCGTGGGAGATGGTCCCCATTGCCTAAATTAGATATTTATGGCTCACAAGCGACAAAACGCTACTTGTCAACTCGTATAACCACATCCGATAGTCGCTTACTAATATTTAGTTATGACCGAGTCATCCATTACGGTGACATTGCTGCTACTACTACTAATGTTGTTGTGACTGTGTTTTGCTTCCCGGCGTTAGCCATTTAAATTTTCCCTGATATGGGATAAACTACGACACCAACAGTGACGCCTTCAGGGTATTGATGTCATATTCATATACTTGTATTTGTTTACACTGGATGCAGAAGCGATACAGCAAGTATTGAAAAAAAGAATCCTGTCTCTCATGCAAAAGTTTGCACAGCACAAAACGCTTTTCATTTCAATAAATTATTACTATCGATAAAAGCATAAAAAAGAAGTATAATAATAAGTTTATCATGAGAATACCAAGTAGGCACTACAAGTAGGGGTCATATCGACCTCTGCTACACATCAGTCGATCACTGTACTGCCTTTGTGCATACTTGGCAGTATTCTTGTGATAAGCTCATAGTATTGAGAGTACACATCAACACATGTCTAGCCTTTTCTTTGAAACTTTGGTCACCTTTCGCAAAGTAAACCTGCAATGCATGATTTTTTTTTCAACATTTTCATCAATAGCCAATTGGGATTTTGTCCATTTGGTTCAAAATTAACAAAGAAACAAGATAAAAAAAGCATAAAAACGTTGTACCAAAATTGGTTTGGAGGTACAGATTAGAACTATACCTTATAACTTATTTTAGACTTACCAGCCAATCAAAGACAAAGAGGCTGTGAACCTCTTCACTGCTATCACAGCATCCTGTATAACAGAAAAAATGTGAGAATAAACAAACCTGCATTTACCATACATTATATCAAAACAAACCAAATCTTGGACTTTGCAACCAATAGAGTAAACATGGTAATCAATATCTTTAAAAAAATCTTATTATGTATTTGTACAAAAAAACAACTTTGCTTCTAGACACACAATAGACTCTGATCCAAATATGTTTTGTTATTGAAAATTGAATTTTGTAGCCCTTGCGTTTCCAAGCAAAAAAGGGTAGAGGTCAAAAACGATCGATTTTCACCCAATCTTCTATGATTTTTTGATAATATCATTAAATAAGTCCAACGGTTAGATAGGTTATTTATTATCAGGTCTTTCGTATTTTTCAACAGGAGTTCAACAATACAGATTCTTTGCCTGTGATGTGACACAGAATTCCAACTCGAATGTATCTTTTGCAGTGCATTTTAACATTTTAGTGCATTTGGTTTAACTTAAAAGAGTAGATACAACAGCAAGGCCATAAAAAGTGAGGGGTGCGTGAATAGCCATTTTGACGGCCATTTGAGCTATTAGCATGCTGCATGCAAATAGATTCTGCTATAAAAATTATAGTAGGTAAAGTTCGCTAATTTTCAGAAACTGGTAGCAAGTGTTTTTAGGTCCATCCAAGTCCAAATATAAAACACCTAGAAATGTACAACTGACAGTAAACATATTTTGAAATGCATAAAATTAAAGCAACTAACTAACTACTGTAAAATACTTTATTTTAGTTGGAATTAATTTTCGCTGAAAAGACTTTTGGCAAGTTTTGTATGGAATTTATTTTCCCTGATCTTTTGACGAGTTGAATGTAAAATTTATTTTCACTGAATCCTACCTTCAGCGAAAATAGAGAAAATTAATTCCAAGCGAAAATAAAGTATTCCACAGTAACTAATTAATTGATTGATTCATTAATTTAATTACTGGTAATTAAAAAAAAGTTTCAGATCAATTTTAAATAAAATAAAATAGTAATACAACACAGAACAAACTTATAGTTATGTCTGATTGCAGTTTCTACAGGAACCATAAACTGATGTTGTACTGCCGGCAAAAAATTCTACTCCAACACAACAGTACAGCAACACTTGGTCATAGGGACGGGTCGTGGGAGATGGGGCCCATTGCCGAAATTATATATATATGACTCACATGCAACAAAACGCTACTTGTCAACTCGTATAACCACATCCGATAGTCGCTTACTAATATTTAGTTATGACTGAGTCATCGATTACGGTGACATTGCTGCTACTACTAATGTTGTTGTGACTGTGTTTTGCTTCCCGGCGTCAGCCATTTAAATCTGTTTACCGACAAGATTACTATTCTGAAAAGGACAACTTTACGTGTTCATAAAACTTACACATTTGCCTTCGTTCCCATCAAATAATGTACAATATGTACCCGGTTCCGGTGTCGAAGTCGAATTACTCGGCATTAAAGTACTCGAGGAATTCGAGAAACCCACTGATTCCATCATTCTCGGAAGACAGATCACCTGAGCTCACCGGAAGCAAGCGTCCATTGCATTCTGGGTGCTCGATCGAATGACGTGCCTTATTATGTGACAGATAATTTGATTGGTCAATTATTTTCACGAATAGTTTTAGAACGTTTTGATGCAATTATGTTGCCGTCTTCACCATCGCAGATTTTGATCGATAACTACAGATTTGACAACTCAGAGACGCGTTGGTTTACGGTACATATTATGGTAATTATTCAATAAACATCCAAACAAGTAATCTTTCCTCAAAACTACTAGCCAATCAGAGTGCGGATATCTGAATGGATCAATGACGTAAGTAGTAAACATGCAAGATGGCGACGAAAGGAGAGAGTGACGACTTGAGGTATGAATTATTCCGCATTTTCTTTAACGTTGCAAGCCACGTGTCTCAAGTGCACTCGCCATCACGACGCGATGGGCCACGCTGTTTATGAGAGCCTGTATAGGGCTTGTCAATCGGATCTCGCTGTGGCATAATGTGTAAACTGGAAAATGGGGGTGTTTATCATGTGTATCAGAGAAAGCCATCCGACACCGGGACTACTGATAAACTCTCATGTATAAACATATTATGGCTCCGGGTACTTGTGAATCAATAAATTATTTAATTGTTATAGTTACAATCACAATATTTGTTAATTCACTTTAAGAAATATATATTTCCTGAAGTGTAAATGTAGTCACTTGTGCCAAGTCGTGGGCTGAAAATCATAATTTGATCAGTGTTATTTATAAGGGCCTTATTGTGATTTTCTTCAAATTCAAGTATTAACAGGCAATGCATGCACAGCTGAGCAATTTATAGATTTATGAAAATTAGAGCTGATGTAACCATAGAATGTTGAATCCTGTAAACTGTGGACGTCGAGAGTTATTAGTGAGCTGAGCATACCAGATGGCATCATCCAGTGGTATTGCTCAACATTTCTCAAAACAAACATTTGGAGCCTGTCTATTGGAAAATGATCACTTGAAGACGATTTCTGTTTTTTGATTTGCATACAGTCGTTGTAGCGTCTATGCTTTGCATAATCTAAGAATCAACTAATAAAATGGCATCACCCATATAAACCAGAAGTACACAATGTCCAACTTCTCAGGGTATGGTATTTACATTTGTGTATATACCGGTACCCGGTATATATACATCATCTAAAAAGTTTGCTTTGCAAGCTGCTGTTGGCTGCTTTTGTTGCACCTGCTACAACTTTAACACAGTTGCTCCAACATCTTTGCAGGATTCATTGCTTTCCTAAAATTCCAAGGATGTCCATTGCTAAATATATTTAATTAAAAAACGAAAATATAAAAGTTTCCCAGACAGTTTTTAGTCACTAAAATCTCCAAAAACTGTCAAGGGTTTTGAATGAAGTACACATACACTTCCTGCGGTTATCATGGTAATGGTAATTATAACAGGATCTTCGTTCTTATGTGGTTGTTTCAGATTACAACATCAGCAGCTCCTGTTGTCATTGAAGTCCACAGTGGAAGGATTATTAGCGTCACATAGTTCTAACGTCTGGTCTACGTATGGCGGGCTATCTAGACTCTGTAGTGATGTTGAAAACATTCTCAGGCATGGAGTCAGACAACAGCAGGTTATTTTGTTTGTTATTCACAATGTTTTGTAAACATGGTTTTAAATCATTATCCTGGCTGACTTATTTTCATTTTGAAAATGTTGTTGTTGATAAGATGCATGTATTTAATTTCCCATTATTTTGTACACAACATTTGTTCTATTTAAATAATAGGTAAAATAATGTGAGCATACACACCTTCATGATTTTTTTGCAGAGGGGAACGTAATAAACGTAATCAATGGGGAAGGAAACATTTCAAAAATAGGATTTTGCATAGGATAACTGTTGCACAACTGAATCTAGGCAAAACATGAGATCAGCAAATATTTTGCACAAATTTTCTTCTATGATCCCCAATATTCTAAAGGGTCCAAAAACCCTTAGATCAGGTGGTCTGTCTCAGACACATGGAAACAGTGCCGATAAATTTTTTCAGTCACAAGTACTATTTATTGATGTTTATCTCGTCGCATGTTGCAGGGTTTATTTACAACGGGTAGCCAGTACTGGACGTTCATCAAAGGACTTAGATGGCTGAATCCAGTATCGGCACCACTTATAGAACATACGGCTAAACGGTCGTCAGATGATGTTGTGGATCGAGGTAAAGCGTGGGTCAAACAAAGCCTGCAAGATCATAACTTGTCGGCACAGCTGAAAATATTAGTGGAAAATGAAGATCACTTACGGCAGTGCTATTTTGGTAAGTCTGGATACATGCCCATTTTTATGTTGTCTTGTAGCAGAGAAGAATGTTAGTTTGCTTTTCAGAATCTGCTCAATCAGTGGAAAAACATTCGTCTCACTTACCATGTTCACTTACCATGTTGAATGCAAAGTGTCATGGCAACAATGTATGTCAGGTTGATTTTAACAATGACATGGGCAGCCATTGAAAGTCAACCATCATTGGAGTCTTGTGAATTAGAAAATAAATTTGATTAATATATTTCACAAAATTAACCTTTTTAGCTCCGCTGTCGACTTTGTCAAGCGGAGCTTATCATAGGAGTGATTGTCCGTCGTCGTTCGTGTCAATGTTTTACTTTTTCGACTTCTTCTTGAAAACTACAAGCCTGAATGCTTTGATACTTGGTGAATATGTACCTTGGGTAGACCTCTCTCAGATTTGTTCATTTTATGATGATATCTTCAATTCTCTAATTTTGGTGAATATTTTTGTCATTTTTGGTAAAAAGTGATATTTTTGACTTCTTGTTAAAAACTGCAAGTCCAATTGCTTTGATATTGCATATATAGGTACTACATGTGGACCTCTCTCAGATTTGTTCATTTTGTAATGATATCTTCAATTCTCTAATTTTTGTGAATATTTTTGCCATTTTTGGTAAAAAGTGATATTTTTGACTTCTTGTTAAAAACCGCAAGTCCAATTGCTTTGATATTACATATATAGGTACTACATGTAAACCTCTCTCAGATTTGTTCATTTTGTAATGATATCTTTAATTTTCTGATTTTGGTAAATATTTTTTTAATTTTTGGAAAAAGTGATATTTTCGACTTCTTGTTGAAAACCGCAAGTCTGATTGCTTTTATATTACATATACAGGTACTACATGTGGATCTCTTTCAGATTTGTTGATTTCGTGGTGATATCTTCAATTATCTAATTTTGATGATTATTTTTGGTGAAAAGCGATATTTTTGAATTCTTGTTGAAAACAGCAAGTCCTGTTGCTTTGATACTATACATATTGTTTATTTTCTAATGATATCTTCTGGTCTTTAAATGCTATCTCAGCCGACAGGCTGCTTGTTTGTCTTTTCTGAACTGAATTTAGCAAGCATATTCTTCATGTTTACATTGAGCATCAGTAATCTATCCACTCAGAGAGCTCTTGCGAGACACTTGCACTAGACATGTAGTTTTTTTTTATCCGATGAAATGCTTGAAATACCAATATATTCAAAACAGTTGGTAGTAAATTGAATGGCATTTCTGACCTGTCGTGACCTCTTGTGTTTGTTATGATTCACATCACAATCATTGTTATTTAAGCCACTGCGATTACGCATAATGTTGTAATAAACATTTAAGATTAGATTTTGCAGTTTTATAACTTTCAGTCACTGATTTATTTTCATTTATTTTCACTTGTTCTATCAGTATCTTGATCCATGCTTAGCAACATCTTTACCGGTATCTCAGGATTCTCCATCAAGTCGTACATCAGATTGAAATAATTAAATAGAGATATTTGTTAGAAAAAGTGATTATGTGGTTTAATGGCCAACCAGAAAGAGTGCATGAAATATTGTGTAAACAATGTGTATAGAAGTCAGTGACACAAAGCAGGGAATCCCTGCGGATTCTATTGTTGAGTCAAAGTCAGAAAATATTTAGTACAAGGAGAAATTCTTTATGTATGCAACTATGTGTTTGACGCAAGTGAAAAATGATCTCATGTATGACCATGGATGAAATTAGAAGTAAATATTACTCATCGTCATCAATTAGACGAACAGCGATATCACACAACTCGATTTAAACTGAGGTTTGCTGGTGAATTTAGCATTAGTAAAGTTGTAGTGTATATAAAAGGGAACAGTTTCTGTAGAAAAGTATAATTTCAGCAACCAGTTTCTGAAGTGTATACATCTTGCTGCGTTCAATTTTTACCATGGGTGAGTTTTTGAGATATCTCACTTAGTTGTTGATGCTACTTAGTGTTTTACTGTAACTAATCCTAGACTCTGGCGAATTGTACCATGTACTTTATAAGTTTATTTTGTTTTTATGGTGTTAGATAGCGCAAATACTTAAAGAGTTGTGGTTAAAAAGTACTGTTTACTGATTTAATTTCATTAGAGACAGATTTTCATACATTTTGATCAGTGAATATTACTGACTTTTTCAAAATTTTGTTTTTACAAACGCCATAGACTGTTCACACTAGTTGTATGCCTGTACAGTGAAAGTGAAATTAAGTGACAGCCCCATCAACTTACTGAGAGTGTGGTTTGTGTAATGGGAGTTTAGGCCAATCCGCACTTGCTTGTACCCAATTTAAAGATGATTGTTTTTGAGATGAAAGCAACTTATTGTCATCCTTGGAAGTATGCTAATGATTGCAGAGTACAATTCATCAAGCGACAAAGCCAAACAAAAGCTAAGGTCACATTCAGTGGGCACTTTGGTTTATCTACGCTTGCCAAATTCATTTCAACTTGTGCCAGGTTCCTATAGAAGTAGGTTTCACTTTTTGACATTTCTTTCAATGGTAAACATGTACTTGTTTTGACCTGTTTCCCCATGTTCAGCATGGATGCAAGTTGACATACCGGTATACTTAATTAACAATCACCACCATGTGCAGACTACGTTCATTCATAAGTGTATATATACGCCACATTGAAGAAAAAAGACTTTGTAGTGAACTTAACTGCATCTTTTATAATTATATACATATACTTCTATATTTGCTTTGGTCCTGATTTGTGAAAAGCACCCCCTATATGTGTAATTACATTATTATAAGACTGCATATTTTGTCACTCCAAAATTGTGATACTACGGGCTGCTTTCTATCCTTGCTTGAAATCATACAGTATACACAGTATATTTCTAATTTGGATTTTAATATATTTCTTTAATATATTCACAATATCAGTTTTATTAAACACATTGAAATACTGCAATCATGCTATGAGGGGCAGGCTGTTGACCTGTAGTAACTAGTCTAATCTGATCTCTCAAAACCAGTCTTTGTGGATACTGTATTTGCGTTATTTTGAAGAACATCTAAAATAGAATTGTGTGTTTTAAGCTAAAATTTTAATTAAGTCTATAGTTTTATGTGCATGGATCAGTATACAGCATGTGAAACTTTTCTACTGAAAACAAAATAACTGATTGATGACATTCCTGTCATTACCTGATGTCACCCTCTGTCTACTGTTTAAAAAAACCCAGATAAGAACCATACGTTGTTGCGTCTGTTTAAAGACAGTGTCACTATAACAATTCTAATTTCCTGCAACATTTCAGAAATCAACAAATCTTTTACACTTATTTTGGATTACCTATGGATGTTGTTACCTGTTATTTATTATGTGCATATATTTGTAAATGTAGATTCAAATTGTAATTTAAGCATATAAGTGATTAAACAACGCTGAAGTCATTTCAAAATTACATTCGTCTACACTAGTGATGTAAAATTTGTTGTGTTGATTTGTCTGATGGTTTTCAACTGTCTATTTGAGTGTCTAAATGTTCTTTAAAAATGTATAAATGATTTCAAACCACAGTTTTGGGTGCAGTGAATGGCAGAAAACTGTACCTTGTTTTATGAAAATACTTATTATGACCATTCGTAAATGCCGATCATCAACTTTCATTGAAATTCAAATATTTAATCATGAGTGATTGGCTCAGGAGCTCAACATTGTCTATACCCATATTGTGCGTTCAAGTTTTCAATTGACTTAGCAACTGTGATCGCCCACTCATTCAAAAATGAAAAGCTTGCTGATTGGTTGCTGTTAAACTAACTAATTAATATTAATAAAACTTGTGATGATGTCGTCATATCATTTCTGGATTGGTCAGTTTCAAATCTACCAGTCGTTTTGATTTCTAAAAAAAATTATATTTATAATACAATTACAGCTTTATGCAATTGACTGTAACTTGAAATGAGTGTAGTATTTAATAAATATTTCTTTTTTCACATATTCATAAATCCAATAATGGCTTGTTATTATATTTAAACGTTCCATAAATTAAAAAAATTTTTTTTTACTATAAATGACGTAATACTTGTTGGATCGTATATTACAACCATCATCACATCATTTGTGTACAGTGCTGGGAAAACAAACATTGCAACTAAAATAAATTGTTATACAGTTGCTTGTATGTGAACTATTCAACAAATATCTATTTTTATATTGTGTTTTAGATGGTGCATTCCTTTGCAGTCGTTCACACTACCACGCTATGCACATATGTTTGAAGTCTGTTGAGGAAAACAACCCAGCATTACTGGCGGATCTTGATCCCAAATTGGTATGTTGATTGGTTTTGTTGCTTTTCTTGTTGATTTTTGATATGTTATCATGCTTACTTACTACTGTTTTTATGTTGTATCTGTGTAACACATGAATATAATATGCATACTTATTACTGCTTTCATGTTGGTATGTCTGTCCATGCATACTACTGCTTTCATGTTGGTATGTCTGTCCATGCATGTGTTTGAACCCTATCGGAATTGTAAATTACACCAGTGTTGGTCATGTGACCCATTACTCTGGCCGTGTTTATTTCTGTAACTCTATACTTAGTCCTTATGTAGAATAGTCCATACTACAGTAGTTTCTCAAATGCAGATTACCTGGTATTAACACCTACAATTTTGGCATTATATATATGTATATATTTTTTTAAGTTCCCATATGCGCAGAGCACAAAGAGAAGCTATTGTCATCTGATGTCTGTCTGTCTGTCTGTCTGTCTGTTTGTGGATGAATGTGTCAAATCTTGTTCCACCAATATCTCACCACTGGGTGCATTGAGATAAAAATTGGTACACATCTTCTCTGTGATGAACTTCAGACCATGTGTGTGAATGTCTTAATATTATTTACTAATTAATGTGTATATGTCAGTTAGCTAATTTGTACTTTCATCACGTTTTTTTTAACAAATTACATTTTTAGCTCAAATGGTTTGAAACTTGTACATGCATACTGTTTGTGTAGTTGAATGTCTGACATTATTTGGAATTAAACTGCATATGTAATTTGCATATTAATTACCTAAATGAGTTTTGAACCAATCTATAGAGTACCAAGAGCAACGCAGAGTCAGAAACGGTTGTATGTTAGTTGTTCAGTAAACATCAAAGAACATTGAAATATAGTTTATTATATTGTATGTTTATTTCTCTTCCAGTTAAAGCTGAGAAAGATCTCGCATACCAGGAGTTCTTCGTTACCAATAAATCCAATTCTAGGACATTCAACTACAAATATGGCAAACAGCAAAGACACTACCCCAATATCTATGCCTACAAAAGCTGTGTTACACCCACCACAGTTTGCATCTCCAAAAACAGAAACTATTTTAACAACGTCTGACGAACATGCAACAGCAACCAATGTCCCATCCAGCCCTGCGGAAAGACTGGAAAGACGGAACTCGGCTAAAAATATATTGTTGTCTGTCTTGGAAAATACAGATTATAGGATCGGTATAAATAGTGATTACGCTTTCCCCAAAATCGCCAGCGACCCGCTAATGAATACGCAGTTTCACCTTGATTCCAGCTATGCAAAAAATATGGACAATAACACAACTCAAAAGAATCACCTGAAAAATAGTAACAAATCAAACGGTGCTAAGAACTCAACTCAAAGAAAAACAACTTCGCTTCCTAAAAATACTCAAGAGAACATTAAGGAGAAGAGGTTTCGAAAAGAGCGCAAAACAAGTAGCGTGAACGAAGACGAAGAATTGTGCCATGTGACTGAAGAGGAGGAGGGTGATGAGGGAATTGAGTTCCCAAGGAAACCACTGAATATAAACCGGACATTATCTAACAACAACAAAGAGTTGTTTGCTAATGATTCTGATGACGAACTTAGAGAAGAGGATATTTTAAAAAAAAGGACCGCCAAAAAAGAAAGTGATAATAGTAGAACGTCTCGTCTGTTTAGTCAGCACACACGATCCAAATCCGATTTGGGAGTTCTTTGTCAGATACAAGGAACTGAAAGGTATACTGACAAGACAGAAGTTGATGGCGCTAATTTGTCTTCTTCCCTCCCAAGCAAGATTGAGCAGTCTCAACCTTTTCTGGATAGAGGTAAGTTTACTCCTTTTTAAAGTTGCATCTGACATCCCCGCATATAATGGTACAAGCCATAGGTCTTGTCACCTTCAGACTGGTCCATTATTATTTGCAGGATGTGAGATAATTTTTAGATGCTATCAAAGGACATGGAGGATTCCTAAAGTATTTTAGCGAAAAAATTCACTCATTATTGAATACTAGATTGAATAGTGAAGAAAATAATGAGATATATATGGAAGCTGGTATGCATAAATAATAAGTGAAGTGTGGTAGGCATTTGTGTGTTAAATTTCAGAGATCGGTTGCTGATTACTGATTGGATGTCTGAAAGTTGCTGACAGAATTGTTACAAGGTTCAGGGGAAATGTTATCTCAATAACTGTTAATATATAGACGACTCAAAAAGTAAACAGGTTTTTTAGTTGTGGTTTGAAAATATGTGGCTTGTCATTTGTTAAACGATACTTGTTTTTCACCTTTAGCATGATCTTCATTTGCTGATAATTTGACAGGGTATGGTTACAATAGTTTAACTATGTTTTTCATTTTACAGGCTATGTGTCACCAACAGAATGTATGTTTCCTAAGCCAGTGGAAGGCCAATCACTGATGAGTTTTTTGTCATCACAGGATTTTCAAACATGGCCTGATCTTGACAGGGTATGGTTACAATAGTTTAACTATGTTTTTCATTTTACAGGCTATGTGTCACCAACAGAATGTATGTTTCCTAAGCCAGTGGAAGGCCAATCACTGATGAGTTTTTTGTCATCACAGGATTTTCAAACATGGCCTGATCTTGACAGGGTAAGCATTTGTTAATCTTCCCAGACAAACTCACACCAATACAACATCAAATGTCAAGCATTCACCCAGTGTTAGAAGATGGATTTTTTTGTTGGTGTTAAATTGTAACCTAGTGGTTTTATTTATATTTTCCATGTCAACATTCAACCATTTCTCAGACTTGTATAGGCACCATGTTAAGGATTTGCCCAAACCACGTCTTTATAGTGGTCAATCTATGTGGTGTCAAAAATATAATTATTCAGATTGATTTCATAACAATAGTCATATGAAAATATTGTTGCCTTGACACTCATTTCATCAAACATTATAAATCACCATATAAACCAATTCCAGTGACTATTCATAAATCAGTATGTCCGCACAAACTGAAATAACACAGAAAATTGCAATTGTTTGTTTCAGGAAAACGCTCACTTTAGTATATCCGAAGCCATTATAGCTGCTATTGAACAGATTAAATGCAATCAACCGAGGAAGTCGGCTGAAGACCAATCAGATGCCTCTTCTGACGAGGAAATCCAAGAACTTCAGCAAAGAATACGAATCAGGCGACGAGAGAGACTAAAACAGAAAGCTGTTATGATATCAGCATTTAGTGATGGTCGAACTGACAGTAAGTGACTGCTGAAAAGGGTGTTTTGGAATGGGTCATTCCGTTAGATATGTGATGGAGCAAGGGACTATTATTATTATACACATGCTTGCATAGTTTAAATACTGTTGCAATACAGTACAGTTCTCGCGGAAGCTTTGGCTTCACTTCAGCTTCACCTTCGCTTCAGCATCGCATCATTATGGCATTGTTATGGCTTCAGCATCCCTTCAATGTAGCGACATTAAAAAGTTAGGCGGTTATCGCTTCGCTTCATTGTGGCCTCATTATGGCGACAATGAGGCATCAGCATCGCTTTATCAAACAAAAAAGTACAGAACTCATTTCGCCCAACCTCTCGCTTCCGCTTTTCAATCGCTCGCTTTTGCAATCGCTTGTTGAATTTCCGCTTTATTTTCGACTGTGCAAAAATTCGAACTACTAACAATTTTCTGGTTTTCATAGATCACGGTTACTAGTTTAGTAACCATGCATAGATGTTAAACAACTGTCAAAAGTTCAAATACTTTTTGTTTTAACTATCTATAATTATATGCATGCAATCTGACTCTTTGACCTAGATTTGGCTGGGATTGACTATTTTATTTTAAACAATATTCTGACGTGACGCACTGCTACAAAATGTATTTCAACAGAAGTACGACGTGGTTGTCC